GCGTGAGGCTGGATACATGCATTCCGGAGGGAACGAAGTGATTAGGCCTGAGCATGGCCCGAAGCACAGCCCACACCTACCAGGGAGCGACAAATCTAAAAGTGACCGCCAATCGTCAGGCGGCCGCATAAACCTAGGATGCTTTATTTATTAGACCACATGATGCTCGGCGGTTACTATAGAATTCGTCTGGGCCCTTTACACGTGGGATGGCCTTCGAATCACGGTCAGGCCTAATTAGCACTGTTTACTTCCAAATACGTGCATTCACCCTCACTTATGCCTTTTACTACCCTATGGGAAGCCCCGGGACACCACAACATCAACTTTCGTAGATTAATGCACTATCATTGACAATTTTGACAAAGTCAGTGCTCAGAGTAACTTCACAATTCCAGTCTGTTAATACCTCAAAAAATCTTTCTTACAGGCCTTTTGGAAATGTTAATGCGGATACGTTCGCGCTCTTCGACTTTACACTGTCACAACCTATTCCTTCAACAATTGTTAAAATTAGCATCTGCGGTAGCATGCTCGAGCACTCGTAAATCACGTTTCCTCATTCGCTCAACATAAATTTGTGCAGCCTGCCACACTCAAGCCTACTATGTTGACTGGCAATGCTCACCACTGCGAGTACGACGCTACTCACATTCGATGCTTTCATTCCGTTGCGGCACTCCATCACGTGCGCTACTATCGTGCCGCTTTTTGAATAGTAATGCTCACGAGCGCAGTTACGCTGATTCCCTGCCTTTGCCGAGTGCGCTTTGCTGCGCCAACCTTTGTGTTGATCGACAATCCCCATCCTTGTGAGACGAAACGACGTCGGTTCCGCGTTCATTTATGCATTCTGTCAACCACTCGCTCGATGTACCCACAAGTCATTTAGTCAACCAGTCTCTTGCTCAGTGTGGTGGTGAAAACGTCTTTGAGCGCTCCATTTGTGGGTGGGTGTTAGGGTGAGGAGAGCAGCGCATGCCGACACCATGCAAAGAGAGTAAAACACTGTCGAAGCAGTCGATTGTATAGCAGCATCGATGACAGCGAGGCTTCGTCTTCTCACATAGTGAGTAAATTGTGTTTGCTGGCTTGTG